CTTATAAAGACACCAGTCACATTGGGTTAGGCACACGCTAATAACTTCATTTTAATTTAGTTACCTCTTTAAAGACCCTAGGGCTTTAAAAAATGGGTACAGATATCTCCGGATATGGCTACATTCTGGGGCACTGGGGGTTAGGACTTTGACAAAGGAATTTGGGGTGGGACACAAGACAGCCCATAGCAGTGACCCGTGTTCCCTGGGATGTGGTTTTGTGCTGGTTTGTTTTGGTTTACGTCTATCTCCAAGAGGCTGGGAGAACATTGCTCCACTTCGGGCTCCTTTCCTGTTGGCTCACTCCTTCAGTCGCCTGGACCTCCATTTCCACCTCTTTCCCTGCCCGAGCTTGCAAACTGCCCCCAGAACCAGCCCAGGGTTGCTGGAAGCCGGATATTGTTTCTGTCGTCTGCCTGCCGCCTTCTCATTCACCAGCAGGCAGCCCCAGCCCCAGCAGTGGGGGGTACTTTTGTAGGCAGGGGTGGCCCAGTAGGGTCCAGGGGGCTTTGTCCTCAGTTTTGCAAGGTGTCAAGCCAGATCTCGTGGCAAGGCTGGGCTCTGGGGAGTATGGGAAGCCTGGTGTGCTCTGGTGTTTCCCTGTTTGACCATCTCAGGACCAATATTATCCTAACTTTCTTGTGCTGTTGATTTTGGCTTTGGATGAGCAAAAGTTCTATTGTGATAAGGCCAAGGGTGTAAAGTGAATCACACAGTATCTGGTGAGTAATAGACCCAGGTATACAGAACTCTTATTATTTCACTCTGTCTTTATGAATTTTTCTTTTTTTTTCTGTTTTAAGATTTATTTTATTTTAGAAAGAACAGGAGAGTGAGCAGGGGGAGGGGCAGAGGAGGGAATCTTGAAGCAGACTCCCTGCTGAACGTGGAGCCTGGCATGGGGCTCGATCCCAGGATCCTGAGATGATGACATGAGTCGAAACAAAGAGTCAGACGCTCAACCGACTGAACCACCCAGGCACTGCTACCTTTTTGCTTTTAGAAAGGGACCTGGAAATGCTCACATCCTCTGAGGCTACCCAGTATGCTCACACCATTGAGTTCCAGGCCACTAGCGTTTATAGATTAATCACTATTTGTACCCATCACCTGAACTACCCCCATCTGTACGACATGGACATTTTCACCCTCATCTGATAGGTGAAAAAATCTGAGACTCAGAAAGGTGAACTGACCTGCTCAAGCCACACAGTTAAGGGGAAGAGGAGGGATTGGAGCACTCTGATGTCTCTTCTTATGAGGGCACTAATCCTATCTGATCAGGGTCCCACCCTTATAACCTCATTTAGCCTTAATTCCTCCCTTACTCCAAATATAGCCACACTGGGGGTTAGGGCTTCAACACAGGAATTGTAGGGAGACACAGTTCAGTCCAGAGCAGGTATTTGACATCAACTCAAGCATTTGCCACATTGTTGAAGTCAAGACTCCAAGTATGCATTCTGAATCAGGCAGAATTTAAGATATTTCAGACACAATCATGGGGAACTCTAATTTATCATTTAGCAAACTATGTCCTGGGTGTTGGGATAAACAAGATATTCCATCATGTGAATAGGAGGCACTTCCTCTTAAAGTCTTTGGGATTAAAAAGAAAGCACCTCTTCAAAGAGGGCACTCAGGGCTGAAAGGGTTTGGAGCTGGACTAGCACTGAGCTGCTGTCGAATTTGGGGCAGGCTGCCTCTCATCTCTGCACCTCCATTTTCTCTGTAAATAGAAATAGAACAGCATCCTCAAATTGTTATGGAATTAAATGAGATCTGTGGCTGCTATTATTATCAATAACAACAAAAACCATGCCCAGAGAAAGTGTTGCCAGATGCCCAGCGAAAGGTCTAGAAAGGGCTACTAAGCAGGGGATTTTGTGGTGCTGGCTGAGGAGAATGGAGATTACCTGAAAGGCAATGCTGCCTGATTTAGGAGCAATAGCTAGCTGGCTTTGGCTGAGCAAGGAGGGCAGTAATACCCCCACTTACCAAACATTTGGAATTTATATGCGGGGGGGGGGGGGGGGCGGGGGGAAGCGGGATTTAGAGGAATTTGCACCCATTTAAACCATTAATGAATAATCTTTCACTATAATGAGGGAAAAAAAAGATAAGCTTGCCTGAGAATCTATGCCCTGAGGCTCACGGCTTTGTTCACCTAACTTGCCGGGAGCCCACACTTGACCTTGGAGGGACCTTACATCAGTTCTGGGGCTCCAAAGTGCCTGGTTTAACAATGTAGGAGGCCAGAAGTCTTCGGTTGCAGGGCCCCTGTAGGAGAGCTTTTGTGCATTTTCTCAGAAGTTAAGAATGAGGTGGATGACTCATGAATGGCCTGATTAAGGAATCCTTCTAGGAAAAACAAAGGGAATGAGAGAAACAGATGAAACATTCATTTTCTTAGCCTGCTTAAAGAGCCAGAGAGAATGGCCTGTAAGCTATATTTCTTTACTAGGAGAAAAAATGGTACTGAATTTGGCTCAGAATGTCCTTGTGTTGGGATAAAATAATAGTTTTTCTACTTAATGTCTGTTTGACCGCTTCCCTTTCTCCAGTCTTTTTACGTAAAATGTGTGAGGGGTGTGTTCTGTGCCAGTCTTGGCCGATCAATAACAGGTTTTTTTTTTTTTTTTTTTTTTTTGGACCAGTCCTTTAGGATCTCTTTATGATCGCAAGATACCCTGTAGCAAAAACCATAAAACTTTAAAAAACCAGGAAACTTTAAAAAAAAATTAAGGTTTGTTGCTTACAGGACCTGGAAATTACACAGCATACCTGGGGCCGTGTAGCGAGGTCTCTGGGTGGGGTGTGTGTGTGTGTGTGTGTGTGTGTGTGTGTGTGTGTGTGAGAAAGAGAGAGAGAGAGAGTGAGCATAGTGGGGTGTGAGAGATGGTGGTTAGGGTTAAGGTTGGGGAGTTCTCCTTTTGTTGGGGCTGAGCATGGGGACCTAGGGTTTCTCAGGCTCACTCCTTATTGGTGAATTTAAAATGTAAGAGCAGGGGCGCCAAGGTGGCTCAGTCAGTTAAGCGTCTGCCTCTGGCTCAGGTCCTGATCCCAGGGTCCTGGAATTGAGTCCCGCGTTGGGCTCCTTGCTCAGCAGGGAGCCTGTTTCTCCCTCTGCCTGTTGCTACCCCAGCTTGTGCTCTCTCTCTCTTTCCAGATACACAAATAAAATCTGAAAAAAAACAAAACAAAACAAAACAAAACATAAGAGCAGGAGTTTAAAGTGTGGGAAGAGCAAAATCAAGTGGCCCAAATAGTCTGTTATCAAAATCAACCAAAATCTCTAAAATAAAGGAGCGTCAGTGTGGGGAGGTGGCCTGGCTCTTTATCTCGTCCTGTGGCCGACCATCTCTGAAGTGGGTGCCTTGGCAATCAAAACTTAAATCAGGCACTTGCATTACAAAAAAAGAGAAAACCCAACCACTGGGGCTTGGGCTTGCTTGCACTACAAGGTGTTAAGCAAGGGACACTGGAAATGGCTGGCTGGGACCAAGCCATGGGAAGAGCTTGCCTGAGAAATGTGAGCTTCTCTCTAATTCTGTTTTTTTCTTTTTTTTTTTTTTTTAATTTTTTTTTT